TCCATCCCCTCCTGTTTTGTGTCTTTTTACAGTTTTTTATGTGCAATTCTTTTTATGTATTTATTTTTTAATTGTTGTACGCCGCCCAGAGTCACCTCGTGTGAGATGGGCGGCCATACAAATATGATAAAGAAAGAGAGAAACAAACAAGAAGTCTGAGCCTCAGCTGAAGTCCAGATTTCCTAAAGTTGCCAGGGTTGAGAGACACTGCTCCAGCGCGTTCTCCTCTGCTTTGCCGCCCGTGGCTGGGGGTGAGATCCTTCTTTCGCCAGAATGGGAGCCATGTACGCTCTTCAGGGACATCCCTGCCTGTTTCCAGGGTGGGGAGGTCAGAGCCGGTAGGGACGGCCAGCGGGACGGGAGCCGGAGAGGCAGCCGGGCCGGGGGGCACCCTCCAGGGGCAGCACCTGTGCACTGCTGGTGGAGGGCTCCCCTGTGGGGACTGGCGTGGCTGCTGCCTGGCCCACACTGGGGGAGCAAGGAAAAGGGGTGCCCTGGAGAAGGTTGGGTTGTGAAGATGGGAAGGGGGGATTCTCCCCTTAGCACCGTGGGGTGTGTGGAAGGGGACAGCAGGGGCAGTTCAGATGGGGCTGGAGGACAGTCACCCCAATACGGATGGGCTGGTGTGGCCAGCGGTGGCAGAAAGCGGCCCTTGAGTGGAACTGGGGGCTGGAGGTGGCCTTGGGAAGACAGGAGCAGGCAACTTCCCCTTTGCAGCCCATGTCTGGGGTGGGGCTTTGTGTATGTCGGGCTGGAGGAAGCAGGGCACACACAGACTTTCATTCCCAGCCTCCTGCAGGGCCAAGGGGGCTGCGGAGGGGCTGAGTAAACTTGCGGCGGGGGGGGGGGGGGGGGGGGCTGGAGGACAGAGTGCCAAGAAGGGCCAGAAGGTAGGTGGGGAGGAGAGAGTGGCAGTCAGCTACTCAGAGCACACCCAGAGGCTGCCCCCCTCCCTGGATAACAAGGGAGTCTGCAGGGAGTCCTAAACAGGCCAGTCTGAGGCCAGCTGGCTTCTTTTGTATTCAGAGACACTGCCTCTGATTATGGAGGCTCTGCATTCCCACAGGATGGCTGCTGAAAGCCACTTCCTCCTCTTTCTCCACCGTGGGTGTGTGCCCAGCATCTTCCAAACTGTGGGGCTCGCCCTCCCTCTTCTGCAGCCTGTCCACGGTAGGGCTTCTTGCTGGAGTTGGGGAGGGCCAGCCCTGCGGCCCTCAGGGCTTGGACGGAGCTGATGAGCTGGGGGGCCAGGTGCAGCAACCGCAAGGTGGAGCTGGGGCTCACTGCGGTTGATTTCTTTGAGTGGGGAGGGAAGAAGGAAACGTGGTGCTGCCTGTGCTCAGGGCAGCATGTCTGTGTTTCCACTTTGCAGCTTGGGAGAGGTGGTGTTCGGGCTCAGCCTGAGCACCTCTCTCCTGATGCTGGGGAACTCCAAAGCGTCACTCCTAGGATTCATATTCCCCCCCCCAAACAGCGTCCTGGGACAAAGTGGCTCAGCCCCCTGGCTTGTGGGAAGGTAGGCAAGGCTCACCGCAGTTGAGCAGGGTGCCCTCTGTAGATCCTCAGAAATAACTTGCCCGGCTGGCCCGGGGCAAAGGTGGTGGGCAGCAGGGCATAGCGCCCACCTGTCAGTGCCACGCGGAGGAAGAGGCTGTGGGAATTGATGCAGGTGGAGCAGTGACTCGCTGTGGAATGCGATGCAGGCGCCCGTTTTGGCTCTGCTCAGCCCGAGGGATAATCATGCCGTCCAGATGGAGCCCCTCAAGAGGAGCAGCTGGATCTGCCTCCCTTGCTGTGGAACCCAGTGCTTGCCAAGAGGCCCTGCAGTGCTGAATGCAGGGAGCCCACGGGTTGGGTGGCAGTTGGGACCAGGGCTGCCATCTCTAGGCGATGTGTTTGTAAAGTGCAGTCCCGGTTGCTGTCGTAACCCCAAGACGCGTGGACCGTTAAGCAGGAAGTGGAGGCAGCGGCAGTAGAGCGTGAGGGATGCTGTGGGGGGG